GCCACGGCCATACAAGGGAAAACCATAGAGTTTTCCCTTGTATGGCTGTGGCCCCGCCCCTGGCGTGCCCGCGTCACTTCCAGGTGATGCGCACGTCGGGGCAGAGTTCCCCCTGGGGCCCGATCTGGCGGCGGGACTTGGGATCCCTAGGCCAGAGAGGCTTTTTGCAGGGGAACCCGCGGGTGGCGCAAGGGGGGCATGGCTCTTTAAAGAGCACCCCTTCTGCCCTTCTGGAGGCAAAACCACTCCTCGCGCCTTGTCTCCCAGCGGCAAGGCACGAGGAGCACACTGCCCTTAGGAGCTCAGGGGCGCCCGGCAGAGCTGGGAGAAGTCCGGGGGAAGCTTTTGCAGGGGAACCGTGGGGGGCGTGGGCGGCCGTGGCTCTTTAAGGATCGCCTCCCCGGCCTTTCTGAAGGGTAAACCACTCTTTGCTCCGCTGAGTATAAATGGGCAATTTTCACAGTGGAGAGTGGTAAGCAGTGTGATACTGCAGGGCTTAGTACTGGGTATGAAGCTTTTTAACTTGTTCATTTAAGGCCCCGGGCACACGGGCCGGATATCGCGAGGGGGAGGCATGGCTAATTGCCCCGGCGCAGTTTGATCCGCGATTACACGATCAGATGCGCCAGCGGCACTGCATGGGTCCTTCCCTCGGCGTCAGCGGGTAAACGAGGGACCGGAGGGGAATGCCGTGCGCTGGCGCGATCACACCACGGGCATCTGGAGGCAGCCCGTGCCAAATGTTTACTAGTACCTTGGAGGTACTAGTTTTTAAATCCGCATTGTCGGCGGTAAGCCACGGGTGCGCTCCACTTCCCAGATGTTGGGGTGTGATCGCGCCTGGATAATCCGCCCACCTTCTGTGCCTCTCCCGCGGCAACTTTGCCGTGTGACTGGGGCCAATGATTTGGAGTTGCGAGTAAGCAGTGAAGTGGCTAAATTTGTGGATTACGCTAATTTTTTCAGGGTGCTGAGCAATGATCCCACTAAGCCAGTTTGGTGTAGTGGTTAAGTGCGCGGACTCTAATCTGGGAGAACCGGGTTTGATTCCCCACTCCTCCACTTGCACCTGGCTGGATGACCTTGGGAAAGCCATAGTTCTGATCTCTTGAAAAAGAGCAGTTTCTCTCTCAGCCCTACCTACCTCACAGGGTGTCTGTTGTGGGGAGGGGAAGGGAAAGGAGTTTGTAAGCCACTCTGAAATACCCTTGGGTAGTGAAGGGTGGGGTATAAATCCAATCTCTTCTCCTTCTAAGCTGTGGAGTCTTCTGAGCAAAAATTCTATTTTATAAGTTATTGGCACTAAAGTTGTGAGAGAGCGATTTGGCTACTGCATAAATTAGTTTGCTCTGGAGCCATCCTTCCTGAGCTAAGACAGAAATGTGTGAGCCGGAGGCTAAAAAAAACTGAGCTACCTCACACTAACTCAGTTTAGAGGGAACACTGGTGCTGAGAACCAGGGA